CAGCTACTAAACCACCCCTGACATGTGACACATCGGGGACTGAGGCAGCAGGGATCAGGCCAAAGTCCAGCAACATTCCACAATTCTAATAATAATCCTTGCATTTGATATAGGGCCTTATCACATTTTTAAGATGTCTCAAAGCTTCACAGGATATACCGTAAAGTGGAATGATTGTGTATTTTGTGGGTGAAATGCGGCAGCCAATTGCGATGAAATCATTAAACAAAAAGCTATTAAGTGAGTGACCAATTTATTCTGGGGGATTGTTGGCCAGGACAACGGGAGAAACGCCCTTCTCTTTTTGAATAGTACCATGGGTTGCTGTGATAAGTGGATCCTTGGGCATTCACTTAAACATACAGTCACTACATTTTACAGTATATCCTGTGAAGCTCTTTAAGACATCCTCCTGATGTGAAGGCTTCTATATCAACGGTAAAAATTATTATAAGGTGGATATCCTGTAAGGATAAGATCAAATGGGCCAAAGGATTTTGGTTCTCTGAACCTTTTGGTCTATATTAGGTAGCAAAGAATATTTTACTGACCTAGAAAAAAGGAGGGGGCAGCACTAATAGTTTGCACCACAAGGCCATGACTTATTTCCAACAGTTTTCAAGTAGGAGGTCTTTGAATAAGAGAGGATGTTTAAGTGGGTTCCTTTGGTAAGTAAGGGGAGTAGGCATGAGGTCTGGTTTTAAAAAAAATACCCATTCACTTGGGCACAGTAGGTGGGGGAAACCCTGTTCTATTACCTTCATTCTCTGAAAAGAAAGAACTTGTATTTTCAGGCTTCTCATCATGTCGAAACATCTCAAAATGCTTCACGTGTAATGACTAGTGACAATATTTGTAGGCAAAAAGTCCCAGTCGTGCGGTGGATGACCAATTCAGCTGGAGGATTTTTGGCCAAGACAATTGAAGAAACTCCTTTCACTTTTCACACAGCCAAATGGGAACTTAAACACCCACCTGAGATTTTTCAGACAAGACATTACATCTGAAAGGCAGCACTTTCCCCAGTCAGTCTTCCCCAGGGTGGTCCAACTGGCAGCCCACGGGCCAATTTCACCTGGCCCACCCACTCCCTCCATAACCTGTAAAATGTTATGTTTCTGGAAGGGAAACCCCAAATCTTGCTTATGCGGCCCAAGGGCATTTCTCAATTAGGGCATCCGGCCTTCAGCAGCCAAAAGGTTGGACTACCCTGGTATAGACTGAGTTCAATTCGTATTGTGGACTTCCAATCCTCTGACTCAGAGGTGAGAGCGTACCAGCTGAGCCAAACTGATAAAAAAATCCTGTGATCTGCCATCAGTAGCGCAAAGCACGTATTGCACGAATGTAAAGGGCAACATTGGTGTATGGTACAGAGTGTAGGTGGCTGATTATACAAGATATTGAGAACGAACAGCTGTAGAAAGTATTTTGAGGATGAAGGGTTCAATGTAAATGTGATATATTATTGTGTGTGTCCAATAAGTGTTGAGAAAGCCACTAGCTGGTGCTTATATAATTATTCAGACACATTGGCTGCGGTGTTTCGTACACAAAATACAGTCAATTCACTTTACAGTGTATTCTGTGAAGCACTTTGAGACATCTCAATGACGTGATAAGGTCACATAATAAGCACCAGCTAGTGGCTTTCTCAACACTTATTGGACACACACAATAATATATCACATCAATGCAAGCATTGTGATTATTAATGCTGTGTTTCACCTAATGTATTGGCAGAATAAAATGATACCTGTTTAGCCCACCACTTGCAGAAATGCTAACTGTAAAATGACAGAGCTGAGCAAGCAGACTGAAAGTGTGAGAATGACACGTTTTGTGTGAAGAAGACATTCAGAAAGGACAGACATCTGCCTTGAGCATACTGAGAACGCCTTAACAGGACAGCTTATGATGTGCCAGCCATCTTATTGTTCTTGAGGGCTATCCCACCTACCAAATTCACTTAGCGCCCAATTGCTTAGTCCAGGACCTCATGCTAATAGACTTGTCTACGGTGAAGCTGAACCTTCAAGGTGTTCAGCAACCGGTCACTCTAGGCCGGAGCCCTCCCTCCTTGCAGCCACTTCCTCTTTTTACCACAAATCCACCTCACTATTCAAACAAAGAAGGGACTTTCTCCCAGTGTCCTGACCAACAATCCCCCAGATAAAATCAGTCATTCACTTAATGCTCATTTATGGGAAATTGCTGTGTGCAAATTGAGAGCTGTGTTAAAACCACAGAACACAGATTCACTACATTTTACAGTCAATCCTGTGAAGGGCTTTTGCACTTCCTCCCAATATTTATGGGCACTGTATTAAATGTAAAGATTATTACTATTACTATTCTTCCACAAACTAGAAAAGGCGTCTTCATGTTCATGTTGGAAAAACAATTGGTTCAGCAAATGCTACCATACACTGGGTCACTCAGGGCCTTGGTCTTTTGTTTCTATTATCTATTATTTATTTTATTAATTGCTAATTATTTTTGCCAATATATTATTTAGAAGAGTCTTGTAGTGAATTGGTTAGAGCACTCACCTCACAAACGAGAGGACCCGGGTTTGATTTCTGGATGGGGTTTCCTTATTCCACACGCCTCTGTTTACCTAGCAATAAGTAGGAACCCGGTTGTTAGTTGATTGGTGGATTGCTTTCCGGGGGTAATAATCCCTTCAAAAAAATAAATAATAATTTGGTCACTGAATCTACCACTGTTTGTGGGACACAACTGTGTGCAGTATAGTCAATTCACTTTACAGTATTTTCTGTAAAACGCTTTGAGACACCTCAATGACGTGATACTCATTTATGTAGCGCCCCTCACAGTGTAGAGTCCCAAGGAACTGGATCAAATGCAAGGATTATTATTATTATAAACAATCTCAGGTCACTGTGCAAAATGACTTGGAGTATGAAACTTACAGATTTTTTCCCAGATTCTCCCCTTGATTTCAGTGCGGAAACACCACCAATACTCACTCTGTGCCTATTCTGGTGCACAGTCCTTTTGGCTTTTGGGATTTTAAGCAGAGCGTGTCAGAAAGGTTACCAGAGGGATGTGGCAGCCAAGCTTTTGTGGCGTTTTGATGTTGTGTTTTGTTCAATGTTGTGGTCTTCTTATCGGTGTGAAGCAGAACTTGCCAGGCGCTCGATTGCTTACCCATTAATAGGGAATGTGAGCTGGGTTTAAACTGTCATGAAACAGGCTAGCTTTTCCCTAATGATGATGTGTAATCTATATTAAAGTGGATTATAATGAGCTTGTTATAAACACAGAAAGAGCTTTACAGTGTTATGATCCACATGCCCTTTATGAGAGCACAACAGGCCAGGAATGGGGATTTGCATGAGAAATACTTTCACAAACACGAGTGTCTTTGTGATGTGTGGCATTTCAATAACACAAAATAGATCATTTAAATGAAGATTCTGTTTGATTTTATTATAAAAATAATTTAAACACAAAATACTTTAATTACTTTATATATAAATATAAATACTCCCAGAATTGAAAAAAATTCAGTGGAAAATTCAATTTACAAAGAACAACTGCCAGAAAAATACAAAACCAATAAAAACTGGGACCAAATTAACAAAAGTTAAAATAAAACTGCCAACGTCAGACAGTAATGGATAAGTTGTGCAAGACAGAACGGTCACAAAACAGGCATTTCTTCTAAGTCGCAGCATCAAGGATAGAAACAAGTGCAAACAAAAACATTTTGTGTTTCAAGCAGATGCTGACAATAAGTCAGAAATGTGACACTTCCTGGAGTCAAATGCAAGTCTGTAAACACATCAAGTCTGTAGTACCATTCCTCCCTGCAGTAGTCTTATAAAGTATTTATTGTTGCTTTTAAATAAATATAACAGCTGCTGTTCTCTGAGATAGTAGCATCGGGTGCTGCCTTGTGTCAGGTGCAAAAACCTTTCAGCTTTCCACCTCCTTCCACTGGAGTCTGGCGTTATATTAACACCAGCAAACTGCTCCCTGTGACTGGATTTCAAATCTTTGGAATGAGGATGGGATTGGGGGAGGAAATGGAGGAACCAAGTGGAGGGAAATAAGGAGTGGAGGGTGGGAGTTGAGGGATAGTGTGTTCCAGCTACTGAACAGATATGCGCAGACACTTGCAGAGACTAATTTGTCCTTGACTTTGAAAATCAAGGTTTCAATGATCACAAAAATTGGATGATATCCAGTTTTTCAGGACAGATTTCATTTTAAGCGGGGATTCAATCTCTGCACAACATGTTTTTCGTATAAAAAGGCCCCACTTCAGTGTCAAGAGAAAACCAGGCCGTCAGCTCCACACAAAGCCTGCTGGTGTCAAAAATACCCATTTAAATAGCTCCACTGAATAAATAACTGAAACAAAACACCACCATTAGAGTTACAATAGAATATTGGGACAGGTGCAGGTGTACCTCCATACATGCACATACACACACACAGACACACACCACGCATGCCCACGTGCAGTACATGGTTGCTGCATTCACTGGTTTATGGTGTAACCATTGAAATCGGTCAGGGTAATCTCCTATAGCAATAACCCTTGAATATTTGGACCGAAATCTCCTCAAGGCCTGCTTGGCAGTGTACTATGCCACGTTTACACGGTCATACCCTCCAGTTCCAGCTGGGGTTAATGTTGCAGCTATTAAAAATGAAACCTGACATCCCTTTTCCCATCCCCTTTCACCCCAATTCACTCCAGGGCACTGAGGACAAACCACAGGGGAATTCTGCGCTCATCGCACCATTGGTCAGAATTGGTATTGAATGTAGAGTTCCCTCAACTTGGCGGAGTCCAAATCATGTGCCTCACTTTCCACAGGCACCTCAGCTGCTCTCACCCACTGTTTTCTAGCCCTGAGGAACAAACCCTATCACTTCCATTTAAACAATCATTTTCCAACTTCCAGCGTGCCGGCTCCTAACGTTGCATGTTATTTCCTTTTCTGTTTTTCTCCTCTTTTTCCTCGTTTCTGTCTCTTGCCCAATGTTTGTCTCTTCCCATTTCCTCATCCTCGCAATCTCTCTTTTTCCTCTTCTCACTTCTCCCTCCATTTCCCTTTGCATTCTCCAAACCCTCTCTCTGCTCCCCTTTCCTCCCTCTTGTCTTCTCCCTGTGGAAGACCAGCATTTTCCATCAGTGCTTTCAGACTGGTTCTCTGGGCAGTGATGCCCTGATACCCTGAGGAGCTGGTGTACAGTGTCCAGGCAGGTGGTGAAGCTCCAAGCCTGGCCATTTCTTGGCTATTCCTCTGCATTCTCGTTTCATTATGGCGACGACAGATCAAAAGATTCAGGTTGGCTCTCGTTGGGGGCCTCTTATGTCTGGGTTCTTTGTTAGCATTCTTTGTTTTTTTGTTGGGGGAGGGGTGGTTGTGGGGGGGATTAACCCACGTCCCAGCTTGCAGTAACCACAAGGCACGCTGTGTCCGTGCGATGTCTCGGCAGCTTAACATAAAGCAGTGTCACTTTTCCAAAGCCACTTTGTTTCAGGACGAGGCGAGTGGCTTATTTTAACCCTGGGTCGGGAAGTCGCGTGTGAATCGGGAGCGAAGGGTGGATCAGGTTCATTGTCTGTTCATTGTCTCCTGTGAGTCAGCCCATTCTCAGGTCACAGTCACTGGCAGCAATCTGCGATGTGCTTCAGGCACTCCTCAGAGATCTCGTCATTGAAGACCCTCAGGCACTTGGGACACTGCAGAGACCCCTGGAGCCTGGCCTCCAGCTCGGGGCCGCGGCTGGCCCCCGTTCTGCGGGCCGGGTCTGGGGGCTCACTCGATCGGTTGGATGCAGACTGGTTGGCCACGTTGCCCAGCAATTGTTCTGCCCCATCCGGCTCCACGAAATACATGTTCATGTGGCCAAGCGGAGCCTGGTGATGGACGGCTGAGTTTCTGGTCTCCTGCAAAACGATGAGAGCACCATTAAATTCCTGCCCTCTGCAGTATATCAGCCAGCACAGCTGCACACAGAGCATGAATGCACTGACAAAGCTCAAGCAATGCAGTTGAAATAGTGAAAACCCCCCACTTTCTTACTCTCAGGTAAGCATGCCACCAACTGTGTGCCTGTCCCTGAGCCCCAAGCTCCCACCTCTGCTGCTGGCACTTCTCTTCCGAGCTCCCACCCTTCCTGTGCTTGTCTCCCGAGCTCCTTGCCCCTGTTTGCACCTCTCCCCTGGCCTTCCCTCCACTTTAGAATAATAAGAATAATAATCCTTGTGTTTGAAACAGCGCCTTTTCACGTCATTGAGACGTCTCAAAACGCTTCAGAAAATATGTTGTAAAGTCAATTGTATTTTGTGGGCAAAACGCAGGAGCCAATTGCGCACAGTCGTGGCCAAATTATTATTATTTTTAAAAAAAAATGTTTTGAAGGGATTAAAAGTGATCTGCAATAAACTAATAACCAGGTTCCTACTTACTGCTATGTAACCAGAAGAGTGTGGATTGAGGAAACTTGCCTAAGGTGCCTGAGGAATCAAACCCAGGTCCTCTCGCTTGCAAGGCGAGTGCTCTAACCATTACACTACAGGATTTTGTGCGTCTCTCTCACCTGTTTCCTCAGCAGTTGCTGCTTCAGGTTTGCCAGCTCTTCCTCCAGCTCCTGAATGCGGCTCTGCGCTCGCTCCCGATCTGCACGTTCTGATCTAAAGTCATCTGTGTAGACCATGACCTGCAACCAATCACACACTCTGCTTAGTTCAGTGAATGAGATTTTCTGGACAAATAATAATACTTGGAAAATGTAGAAACAACAACAAAATTACATTTGCATAGCAGTCTAGTTATTGTTATCAGGTCCCATTGCTAACAAGTAATAATTGTCTTGAGCTAATGTATTACATGTGTCTGTGTAAAATATCTAGTTCTTTCATTTCATATAATACACACTGACCATTTTCAAGTTGTGTACTGTTTATGATCTCTTCACAATTGTGGAGTGATTCTGTGCCAATTGCCAGTCCAGTTGTATGTGCACCATCTTTCAGTCTCAATGGGCCAAATGACTACAATTCTATGGAGTACAGTACAATGCGGGGGGGGGGGGGGGGAGGGAGGGGAAAGACGACTGAAAACATGGTCAAAGAGTCCATTGGTCTTCAGGCATCTGCCAATTCACCAGCTGGTAGCGGCTTCCAATTGAAGACCGGCTTCCAATTTAAGACTGAATTTGTGAATTTTCCACAATTTTTTTTTACTAAAATAAGAACACTCGTCTCATTGATAAAAAAGGGAGAATTTCAGGCCTCTGATATGTGTGGTTATAGGATTACAGCAGATAGCGTCCCATTTCACGGTGACCTTTACTTAGAACCAGCGAGTATCATGGCCTGTCCCTGAACTGCTGTAAGCATCAAATTTCTATGCTCGGGGCTCTCCCCATTTGCCCATCTCAGCTGGATCTGCTCGATAGTTTCGTTGTGGGAAGCAAAGCTGATATCCAACGTAAGACAAAGAAAGCCTTATCACATCGGAACAATATCTCAAAAGTGCTTCAAAGGATTTACTGTAAATCCAGCAGCACAATTGCACTCAAATTGCAATGAAGTGAATGAACAATTTTGCCAGGTGCTCCAGTGTTGCTGCAGTGTTGGACCCCAAAACACAGTCACTGCATTTTACAGCATATACCGTGAAGCGCTTTGGAACGTCCGCTGACTTGAAAGGCATATATTATGTAAGGATTATTTTTATTATTATTTTCTCTAGTTGTCCCTTATTGGCTGAGCCCTGAGAATCACTGACCTAAACTGTGAACCACCTTATCCCAAACTCATACCAGAATATATAAGGCCACTGCCTGAGAGGCCACACACTTGAGCTCACAAACCAGGACAAGGCCTCAGTGTGCTACTGGGAGAGAGCTGCATTGTGCCAGCCTTCAGATGAAACATTGAACCGAGATCCTGCCTGCATGTTCAGGCAAATATTAAAGATCCCCTCATGCGTTTCTCTTTCAGATGAATGAAATAATAATCTTTGCAGTTGGTATAGCGTCTTATCACATCGGAAGGATGTCTCCCAGCGCTTCACAGGTTTTACTGTAAAGTGGAGTGACTTTGTATTTTGTAGGCAAACATAGCAGCATAATTGCACACAGCAATGTCCCACAAACAGTCATGAAGAGAATGACCAATTTCATTCAGGGATTGTTAGCCAGGACACCAGGAGAAACTCCCTTCTATTTTCAAATCATGCCTTGGGATCTTTAACGTCCACCTGAACACCATTAATTGATGTTGAGGTCTACAGATGGAGCACTGGCTAAAGCAGAACGGGGGGGTTAGTTACCTGGTGCTCCAGCATTTGCATTCGCTCCCAATCCACCTCTCGGGCTCTCTGCACATCGGACTTCTCCTTCTCCAGACCGTCCCTCTGCCCCTCCAGCCGGCTGCACTCCTTTATCTTCTCCCCCAGCAGCCGGTTCAGCCTGAGGATCTCATGCTGGAGCATATCCGGGGCAGCAGCAACAGCAGAGAAGCCCTTCTGCTGTCCCACCTTAGTCTGCAGCTCTCTCAACTGACTGTGAATTCCTTTAATGTACTCCTCTCTGCTGCTGTCGTACCTCTGCCATTTTGCATTCAGATCTTCTACCTATATGTAAAAATAATAACACGCATTGAGATAAATAGTTAGTGGGGCAGAAAATCCTCCCACATAGCTCCTGATAACCCTGTAAGTCAAAGCCCTAACCTATCGATCTGAATAGCCGTACAGTGCTTTACTGATCAGAACAACCATTATGGTGTCTCGACAGTCCGGTTCCTGAGTCAGGTTCGTCCACAATATTCCAGGGCGCTGCTGATGACAGCACAGCCAGCCTGGCTCAACAGCAGGACTTGGAAGGGCAGACCAGTTACTGAGGGCAGGGAATCATCCCACTCAGCTCCTGTTAACATTGCAAGCCAAAGCCCTAACGGGCAGGGTGGTCCCAGCTGGACAAGCAGCGGGAAAGCTTGCCAGACAGTGCTCTCAATGGCAAACTGTGCAGTTTTAGCTGGTTATACTCCAGCAGTTACCTCAACACACACTCTGGGGTCCCCAAGCCTTGGCTCTTGCCAACCTTCCCCAAATGATTTCCGGAATTAGGTAAACAGGATGTGTCCCTCCAGATAGAGAGTCACATTCCATTCCAGCAATCCATCTCTGGGATTTCCATGTGTACGTGAGATGCATGGAATTCCCAGTTTGGTTTGGATACTCTTAAGCATAGCGATGGGTTTCCCCGTGTGTCAGACACCCGGCTGACCAAAAAAAAGTAAACAAATAAATAGCATGAATTTCCCTCCTTTCCTTGGCCTGGGCATTGGGTTTATTTCCCCTGCTTGCTTGCTGTTACTGAGTGAACCTAGGTTAGTTTCTCTCTCTTCACTAAATAACCCGCTTCAACTCTATGAATTCCTTTGTCTGATGCGAGGCCATCAGGGAGGAACAGTTACAAAATGTGGGAACATTTGGAAATCGCCCTGGAAATTCCAGGATGTTTACAGGGTTGAAGTGTCAATGTCAAGATGTGGAGCAGCCAAATCTGTGTAATTTTACAAAGTAGGTGGAATTTTGCCCACAAAATATAAAGCCAATCCACTTTATAATATATACGGTGAAGCACTTTGAGACATCTCAACAAAGTGACGAGGTGCTATATGAAATGCGAGGATTATTACTATTTTATTATAATTTCATACCGCAGATATTTAACAAGTTACTTGAGAAGCAAAATGCAGGCAGTAGTTAATATACAGCTTCTGACCCATTTACTAGCAAGCAGGGATGGACACTGGCTTTGATTTTACTCACGTAAATAGCTTTTTCCTTCAGGGCGCGGTTTTCTTCCACCAGTTTGCAGTTTGCGGCCTGGAGAGTAGCAGCATCGGAAAAATCCATCTCGTTTAGCTGTTGGCAGGAAAGACGCACTATGATTCACTGTTTAGGAGGATGGGGTCCACTCTTTTCACTGTACATGGATCCACATTCACAGGACTTGACAAATTGAAGAGGTTGTGAACCACCCAAGCAAAATAATTTTGGTTTCACAAGGCAATTGTGGAGTTTTTGAACTCAGGACATGAACTTCGATGACCCCCAAATTTTCTGTTTCCAATCCCGCACTGCTCTTTCTCTCACTTCTTGTCTGTCTCCCTCCCTTGCACTTCAATAGGGCAATTTATGTATTAAACCCTCAAAGTGTTTACAGAGAAGTGTAAACAGAACAAAGTGGCATATCCGGAAAGGGAGGGGGGAGGGAGGGGGGAATAGCAGGGAAGTGGCTCAAGGCACAGGCAAAGAGATACATTTTTTGTAGTTATCCTTGCATTTGACACAGCTCCTTTCACATGAGGAGCGCTTCAACTTTACTGTAAAGTGAAGTGACTTTTGTAAGTGAATGCGGCAGTTAATATATGCACAGCATGTCCCATAAACAGTGATGATGTAATGTAAATGACTAATTTTATGTGGGTGATTATTGTGGCCAGGAGATTGAGAGGCACTTCCATCTTTTTTCCAATGGGATCTTTAGCATCCACCTGAACAGGCAGACAGGATCCCGGTTTAACATCTCACTCGAAGAACGGCGCCTCCAACAATGCAGGGGTCCCCCAACACTGCGCTGGAGTGTCAGCCTAGACAAGGAGAATTCTCAGGAGCTGGGAGCAGGAAGACTGAGCTGAATCCCACCCCCTTTGTGTTGAGTGAACATCTGGTGCCTCGATTGCTCAGACTCAGATGAGCTGATTCAGCACAGACTGGATTCCAACCTTCTGGTCTGTGTGACCTAGTACCCAGCCCTGGTACGTGCCTTTGCTCACTAAGCTATCACAGGAGCTTGAGTTAACCCATTACAATTACAAAACTCGTTTCCCATTTTATTCCAATCCATAACAAAGTACAAAGGCTTTGTTCCAAGCCCCCCCACCCCCTCTCCCCCTATCCGAGACTGAAACCCGATCCACAATTTTTTTGTTACTATAACCTCTGCCACTGAATAAAAGAGTAACATTAGTTTAAAGAGGTCGACAGACTTGATCAAAGCCACGTCCCTCACAAGGCTGAAGCAAGCTGGCCAGACTTTAAATAAGCGAGAATACAATGCAATTGTTCACTTAAAACACAGCTGCTTTGTGAGTTCTTCTGTTGGTGGAAAGTCCCGGCATTAATCAAATCAATACTGAGAGTTGGAAACTCCACTCTTCATAAAGTGTATCAATGACGCAACAACTCAAGACGCCAATTCACTGGAAAGACTTGTTCTGTTGATCTCTGTGTCAGTGTGTGTGCAGATATACGGGGGACAGGGAATGCTGTTGATATAGGGATTCATAGGGGCTGGATCTCTCATGGAGGGGCAGTCTGTGGGTGGGTAGTGTTGGGAGAAGTGAGTGAGTAGTGTGGGGAAGCGTCTGTGGGTGGGGGGTGTCTGTGGGAGGCTGGTGTTGGGGGTGACTGTGGGTGGGTAGTGTGGGGTAGGAATCTGTGGATAGATAATGCAGGGGGAATGGGACGGCACCCACTACATTCTGGAAAGGGACAGCTCACCTAACCCACCGAAGAGCATTAAAGCACCCTCTGCAATAATTTGCATCATAAATCCTTCAAACGCGAAAGATCCTCCAATAGAAATATACCATTTTGCGAATATAATGCTTGTCAGCCTGGCGCAGCAGTAGTGCTAGCTCCTCTCAGTCAGAAGACTGTGGGTTCAAGGCTCACGTCGGGAAGGACTTCACAGAATATATTTAATTTCCACTTGAATCTGCTGACCCTCCCTTAATACCATTGCTTTATTGTACCTTATTGGGTTGCTCTGTGGAAACCTGTTCCTCCAGGGCTGAGTGTTGCCTCTTTGGCTGTTTCTCCTCTAATTGAAGAGCCAGCTGCTGGCACATTTTTGCCGTGCCCGCCAAGCGTGCCCGCAGCTCTTCGGTTTCATCCGTCAGTGACCGGCACCAGACTTCCCGGGTGGCATGGAGACGCTCTTTCTCCTTCATGGCCCGGCGCAGCTTCATGATCTCCGCTTCTTTCTCATGCTCCGGGCAGCTCATCAGCTGTTGCATGTCTCTCTCCTTCTCCCTCAGTTGTTGCTGAAGTCGCTTCTCCTCCTGCCGGGAAGGAAGGAAAGGAAGCAGCATGATTAGTAACAACAATAATAACCTTTCCATTTACTATGATGCCAACAACATCGGAAGGCTCAGTGTTTCACAGGTAACTGCTCTAAGGGTTGCCACTGTACATTTGTAGGCAAACGCCACCGTTAATTTGCACACATCAATGTCCCACAAACAGCTGGGGGAAGTGAATGATTAATTTAGCTGACCAGGTCACTGGGGACGGGAGAGAAAAAAATCCCTTCTCTTTTCAAATAGCACCACAGGATCTTTGACATCCACCTGAACAGGCAGACGGGACCTTGTTTTAATATCTTATTCAAAGGTCTGCATTTCTCTGTGATAGAACATTCAGTCCTATTACCTGCTTTTCTTTCCACATCCCTTCAAATTAATCTCTTTCTTTTATGATATCCATCTTGTTCCCTCTTGAAAACGTGGATCTGGCCGTGTCCACCACACCTGATAGTGCTTTCCAAATCCTAACAAGGCTCTGTGTGTAAAAAATATCTTCTAATCTCCTCTGTTGCTATCAATGCCCTCTTATCACTGACTCATCAACCATTGGAACAATTTCTCCCTATCGACTCTTATCAGAATTCTAAACATCCCTATCAGCTCTCTTTTCAACCTTCTCTGTTCCAGTGAAAATAGGAACAGCGACTCGAGTTCCTCCAGTCTCTGGATAGGGTGTACGTGGGTATTGGAGCATTGGTATTTCTGACACTAAGCACAGAGATGCTACAGTGCGACTCTGCTGACAACATAGCGCTGTGCCTTAAAGAACAACTCTGGTCACAAAGCCAATTTTACACAACTCTGCGCAAAATGATTACTACAGTCAATGTGAATTCTTAGAGTAAGCACCCAAGAGCTAATTGTGTGTGTGGGTGGGGGGGCACCAGTAGTAATGTAACTGTGGCTGCTATGCCTGTTAGGGAGTGGTTTTGGCTAACACACAGAATACAACACCCCACCTCCAAAACATTCCGCGTGTAGCTTCTTCACCTGTTGTATATATTCCAGGATATTCCACAAACTCATTTGGGAAAGTAGCAGATTGTGAAAGACAGATCAGGATGTTCTTCTCAGATGTAGCATTCTGCAACTTCCAACTAACCTCAGCCTTTATCATAACAACAGCTTGCACTTATACAGCGCCCTCCACACAGGGTAGCGTCTCAGAGCACTTGGCACAACAGAGACTCACTCTTCCCTAACCAGCATCTCCCTGGGCTTCCGTGTTTCCCCGTAATTATAGATCCTCAGCACTGAACAATAATAAACAATATCTCCGCCAAAAAAAAAAAATTCTCATGCTCTTAGCCTTAAGGCCTTAAAATTTAAGATATCGTTGCAGAATTTTGGAAAATCCTTAAATTATTATTATATTTGTCAGCCTGTTTTAATAATAATAATAATAGTCCTTGCATTTGAAACTTCCAATTAAATATTCAAGGAAAGTGATGGAAATCAGTTGGGACACAGGGATCCACACTGAAACAATAAAAAGTGATCATGGGTACAGCAACAGTGTCAGAGTGAGATGTCATTGACAGTTACAAACTGCTTCAACTGGTGATGGAATTGATCCCAGCTAGAAGAGCAAAGCTACGGGCTAGGACAGCTGCATAGGAAGTGTCGAATGGCAGAATGATTGCAGGGAGGAGAGTGCAATGGCATGTTGGGTGCAGGCTATAACAGCCTGTGATGTGGTGGGTGCAGGCTATAACCAGCCCGGTTGTAATGACTAATTATCTAACTAACATTATGCAATTGTGCAATTGAGCAATAAGTAATGTCAGAGGGAGAGGCCAGAGGCTTTTCTGAGTTCTCTTTTAGTGTAAATTTGATCACTCAATCCACGACTGTTTGTGGGACACTGCTGTGTGCAATTGGCTGCTGCATTTTGCCCACAAAATGCAGTCAATTCACTTTACAGTGAAGCACTTTGAGATGTCTCAACAATGTGATAAAGTGCTATGCAAGGATTATTATTATTAGTCAAGTTATGAGGACCGAGTTTAAAAAACAAAAATGTATTTAACAGCACTTTATCATGTTGAAATGTCTGAAAGAGCTTCACATGCAATTACTGTCAGAGAAGGGAGTTTCTCCCAATATCCTGACCAACATTCCCCCAATATAATTGGTCAATTGATTTTCTTGGCTGTTTGTGGGACGTTGCTGTGCACAATTGCGTTCGCCTACAACACAAGGTCACTCCACAGCACAGTAAATCCTGTGAAGAGCTTTGGGACTTCCACCTCTTGAAAGACCCTACACTAAATTCAAAGATTATTATTATTAATAATATTACTGTCAAATGTCATGACTCTTTTCGTAGTCAAACGTGCAATCGTCCACCTTAGCAACAGCCAGAATATACAGTATGCAGAAGCCTTTTCCTATTGGTGAGACTCTTTCCTTCATAAATTGTTTCCTGTGAAACTATTCATAAAGGAAAGGGAGTTTTTCTCAGTATCCTGGCCAACTATCTTCCAAATGCATCCATCAGTTAGCTCGTGGCCCTCTTGCATGCAAAATGGCTATCACATTCACTTATAACAGTCACTACGCTTGACAATGCTTTGTAGATTGCAACATCTGCGGCACCACAAAATGCAAGTCCTATTAATCAATACTTCTCATTGAGTCACTGTGTATTTACAAAAAAAACTCTGTGTGATTTAAAGGGAAAAGTAGACTTTCCAGATGATTCTGTAGTCTTTGATTAATCCTTTAATTATTTTACATTTATCTAGCGCCTTTTATGTTGGGCGCATTTCCCAAGGTACTGGACAGTGCAGATTTGGCAGAGGATCGAAAGTGTACTCAAAGAGCGAGGACTTGAGGCAGGCCTTGAAGGAGCCGAGGTTACAAGCAGTTCATAGGGATTGACACTCAGGTCCATCTAGTGACTGGGTTGTTCCTTTTACTAAAGAATAGCCCATTGCTTAACGTGTAGAAAGTATTCTAAATGTACATTTCCCTTTATCCCCTTATATAACTACTGCAGTCCATACACATTTACTTCCATTGAGCACTGGTATGTTTTTAAAAACAGGATTTTATAAAAGTTTGTTTTGGTAATTTGATTTTGCTGCTTTACTGTTGCTATGTAATTTCAAGGGTTTATCTGAAGACTGTGATTGTTGTCAATGTGGTAGGTCGATGTGCTGGTTATAAATAATAACAATCCTTACATGTAATGGAGCACTTTTCACTTCAGGAGGACATTTCATAGCACTTCACAGGATATACCATAAAATGTAGTGACTGTGTGTGTCTAGGCGAACCTGGCAGCGAATTAACGCAAAGCAATGTCCCACAAACAGCCTTGAAGTAAATGGCTAATTTACCTGGGCATTGTTGCCCCGGACACCGAGAGAAACTCCTTACTCTTTCCCAATTGTGCCAATAGGGATCTTTGATGTTCATGGATAACCAAAGACTTTGCTCAGCAGTGAAAGAAATGGGTCACAAAGCCAGAGGCCTGTGCTGTGATCCGCCACAAACCTGGGAGGCTGGAGTGGAGAAACAACGTTAAATCTAATTGGGACAAGTCCTGGGTCAATGTTTAATCCAATAGGTAGTCTTTGTCTTTAATTCTGTTGTTATACTGGCATGGGTTAAAAGCATAACCTGCTGCAAAAATGTGTTATTGTTGTGAATTATATAGAGTATTGGTTAAAGCAGTCGCCTCGCAAATGAGATGACCTGGGTTCCATTCCTGGGCAGGATGAAACCTTAGACAAGTTTCCATACTCTACACGCCACTGTTTACCTAACAGTAAGTAGGAACCCGGTAGTTACTCGATTGGCAGATCGCTTTCCAAGAGTAATAATTCCTCAAAATAAATAAATAATAATAATTTGGTCACTCAATTTGTGGACTGTTTATGAAACACTGCTGTGTGCAATTGGACTACCGATTTTCGTCTACAAAATATACAGTCAATTCACTTTACAGTATATACTGTGAAACACTGCAACGTCTCAACAATATAAGGCGCTATACCAAATGCAAGGATTATTATACTATTATAATTATACTCTTGTATTAATCTGTGCTCCAGTACGCAGCTATAATAGACAATAAATACGTGCTGACAACCTTCAAACAGCCACCCAATATCTACAATAGGAAAGACAATCGTCCAGAAGTGATGAACTAGCATTGTGACGCAGATCACATTTGAGATGTATTGTGAACCTTCCCCGATGACATCCGGTGCCATAGGTAGCATGTGAGGTAGCGTGTGAAGCTCATAATCTCACGTCTCAGTTTGTGCACAGTTAAACCGAGATGTCACGGACTAGCAACTGGTCTGAGTCACTCACACTTCTAATCGCATCCGTGACTCAGACCGGCTTCAGGGGCAAGTCAACTGGGACCTGACTCCGAAACCCTCGGAATAAAAGAGACCAATTCCACCCCCTTGACACGCACTTCTTTTTGGTCATAGCCGTCACTATGGGAAATACCGAAATATTCCCCCAGAGTCCCCAAAACCGTCTAATATTGTCGATTTAACAGCTTGGATCAAGGGAACTTGTGCAACCACGTTTCGAATCTTGATTCAACAACAACTTACATTTATATAGCGCCTTTTATGAAGGGTAGTGTCCTGGAACGCTTTAAATTTCTATTTCTTTGACACAATCTCAAGAGAAAGATGCAGTAAATTCACATTTGTTTGCCTTTTCAAGTTGCAATACCTTAGTTACTGCTTATGACAGACCAGCCAACTTGGCTCATCAGTACGCCTCTAACAGGCAGACTGGGGGGAGGCATTCTTCCCACTCAGCTTCTGTTAACCCTGCAAGCCAAAGCCCTAACAGGACATAGCACTCTGGGGTCTCCAAGCCCTTGGCCAAACTGTGCCTAAAACTCTCCCAGGATTAAGTAAGCAAGTTGTCTCCCTCTGGGGAGCGAAGGCACATTCCATTCCAAACGTCTAAATTTCCACGTGGAGGTGACATGCATGAAACCATGGTTTGGATATTCTTAAGCATGGCAATAGGTTTCGACATGTGTCAGACATCCGGCTGGCCAACAAAAAATGAAGAACTCCATGCACATACGGAACAGACTATGTAGTTGTAAAGTTATCAGGTTGAGGGTTAACCACCACATCGGGACTTGGAACTCATATAGTCTAAAGGAAGTTAACACTCCAATGCAATGCTGGGCGTGTGCTGCACTGTTGGAGATGGGGTCAGTCGGATGAGACGTTAAATCGAGGACCCGATTGACTCCCTGTTCAGATGGATGTTAAAAGCCCCCGTGATAACAGAATTTCTCCCAGTGCCCTGCCTCGCCAATGATCCCACCGCCCCCCACCCCCGATAATAAAAGAATGTTAATTCGCTTCACGGCTGTTTCTGAGACACTGCAGTGAGCAAACTGGCCACCGTGATTGCCCCCAAAAACACCCAGTCACACCACTTTATGGTACATCCTGCGAAGTGCTTTGGATGTCCTCCCGACATGAAAGGCGCTGTCCAAAATCATTATCGTTAATAATAATCTTTGCATTTGATATGGCGCCTTATCAGGTCGTTGAGACATGTCAAGGCGCTTCACAGATTATACTGTAATGTAGCGTGACTGTGGATTTTTGTGTGGCGAAACACGGCAGCCAGTTTGCACACACATGGCAGTGTTTCCCCCAAACAGACATGGAATGAGGAGTAATATTCTAGTTTTAAAAAAAAAATTGTTTTTAAAACAAAAACCAGACCATTGAGAGCTTAGTTGAGGAAAGGGCAGAAGGAGGCTCACGTGGAGCATAAACACTGGCACAGACCAGTTGGGCCGAATGGCCTGTTTCTGTGCTGTATATTCTAATGAAATGTATTGGAAATGAGAAGACGATTTGCTTACCTGCACCAGTTTGTCTCTGTCTTGCCTCCAGTCGCTCTGGCAGTCTGTGAGCTGCTGTTTCAGCCTGCTGATCTGCTGCAGAAGACTGTCCAGCAGAGACCTGGAGGGCAGTGCACAGGGTAGGGCTGAGTCCTGGGGGTTACAGGTGGCTTTCTGTTCGTAAAGCTCCAGGCGAGCCCTCAGCTCCTTGATCAAGCTGTCCTTAACAGCTACCTGGTGGGCAAGGTGCCCCAGTTCCTGCCTGGCTTCGTGATAAAACGTGTTGATGGTGGTCTGACCTCTCAAGATTCCTTTTAAGCTCCTGTTCTCTTTCTGCAGTCTCTCCACCAGCTCTTCCACCACGTTGTAATTCGCCACCCTCCGAGCCGGGCTGTCGCTGCTCTTTTTCGAGGACATCTTTGGCTGGGACCAATTATTAAAAGACTTTGTATAAAAGCGTGTGTGGCGGGCTAGACTGGGTTGGGGTTGGAGTGGGTTTTACAAAAAAAAAGTTTAAAAACTTTAAAGAAAGCCAAAAAAAAACCCACACACAAAAAAAACAATAATAATTAATAATAATAATATGATAAGAAATAATTTAAAAAAAGCGATCACAGCCTGGACATAGTGATGAAATGTCTCCAAAACTTGTTCCCAATGTTGTCAGCTCCAGCTCCAGCTCTTGGGAGGGTATCTCTCTGGCTCTCGACCCAATAAGTTATTGTTTGTGGCTAAATAGCAGTTTGAAGGGACACGACAGGATATATGCAAAGGAGTGAGCAGTAAATGTGAAACACACTCGTGCTGCACCGACCAGAAATGTCTTCATTTCACATTGCTAACATTTCCAAATCAACCTATTTCACGCACAAGGGAATTTCCTCTCGGGGCTTCCCCCTCAGCCCCACACACACACACACACACACTGCGGAGTTTTTATGTACTTTCTTCACACACATACGCGCTTGCCAGGATCTCTTATTGTCCCAGCACTTTTCCTTCTTGTTCTGGTAATAATAATATCAAAAAGATACCTAAAAAGAGGCAGCCATGGCTCAGGGAACTGAAGTCCAACTTTTGTGTGAGTGTGTATAAAAAGTTTAGTTTTGTTTTCTGGAAGCTTTGAGCTTTGTCAGGCAAACAGAAACCAGCAGAGGGCCGCCACACCTACATAGATAAGCCTGCCTCTTCCTGCTTGTTTAATGGTGCAGGCTAGGAAGCAAGTTTATGTTCTCTTACTGGGAAATCTGGCTGGATACAGCCTGAACTGCCCTAATATAGACTTTGAATAATCCACAACCTTCTGACTCGCAGGCCAGAGTGCTACAGACTCATTCAGCCAGACTCCGTGAAACATGACGCAAGTTTCCTTACTCCAAACTCTTTTGTTTACCTAGCAGTAAGTAGGAATCCGGTTTGTTGGTCAATCAGTGGATTTCTCTCCTGGGGTAATAATCCCTAAAAAAAATTGGTTACTCAATCCACGATTGTTTGTGGGCCACTGCTGTGCACAATTGGCTGTCACATTTTGCCCACAAAATACACAGTTAATCCAGTTTACAATATATTCTGTGAAGAGCATTCAGACGTCTCAACACCGTGATAAGGCGCTATATTAAATGCAAGGATTATTATGAATGCTTACATATAGTGTAAGTACTCAAAATTATTCTAGGTCAATTGACTGGGAAGGCACATCATTTTCACACATGAAGGAAGTTTTGGAGACAGTTAGGGGGATATTACTGATCAGCAGACATGGAGTCATTCAAACCCCCCACCCAGGTAGATCATGTTGGGAAGTTTGAGATTTGTAACATCTGATGACAATGCAATGATAGAGTCAAAGGTGAATTTTCATCACTGCGACTCCATAGAACCAGGAAACTTTTGGGATTTTCTGCCTGTTGCAATTGATGCAGCTTCCTGGTGTAGTAAAAGATCTCAATACAATACAAACACACCTTCCCCGTTCTTATTTCTCCACCAAGGGGGAAGGTTCTATTAAACAACAGCTAGATACATTTTACATTCTACCTACCTGCCCGTACCCTCCGTTCCTCTGGCTCCGGTCTGCTCCACATCCCCCGCCCCAACTGCCCTACCATCGGTGGCCGGGCCTTCAGCCTCTCAGCCCCGAGGCTCTGGAACTCCATCCCCCAGTGCCTTCGCCGCTTCCTCCCTTTCCTCCTTCAAGGCCGGTCTCAAGACCTTTCTCTTTGACCGTGCCTTCAACTCCCCTCTCGACTCTCTACCCCCTCCTCACTCCCTCCCTCCCCTCACCCTGACCATTTCCCCCTCCTCGCTCGCTCCCTCCCTTCCCTCCCCTCACCCTGACCATTTCCCCCCCTGCTCGGGTCTTGACCCAACTGTCCAGCGCCTTGGGACGTCCTCCCGACGTGAAAGGCGCTCTATAAATGAAATCTTGTTGTTGTTGTTGTACATTCACTTGTGATTAGTATGAGTATGTGATTTTAGACAATACTGAGTTTAATAGCCTTGAGTTTTCCAAATTGTGTCCAGGACACTGCTGACAACAACAACAACACAACAAAATCACATTTATAGAGCACCTTTCAAGTCGGGAGGACGTCCCAAGGCGCTGAAACAACCAGCAGGACTTGGAAGGGCAGACCAGTCACTAGGGATAGGGAATTATCCCACTCAGCTCCAGTTAACCCTGCCCCGTTTCATCCACAAAATACACAGTCAATTCACTTGACAGTATATTTTGTGAAGCACTTTGAGACGTCTCAATGATGTGATAAAATGCTATATCAAATGCAAGGATTATTATTATAAATTCAACCTGCTCTGGACTAGTTACTTCAGTCAGAGAGGATATTTGGAAATTTGCATTTTGTGTTATTTTACTGTAATCTTATACAATATAATTGTTAATAGAATTAGATAATACTCAGCAGAGAAGGAATCCATTTGATCTAACAGGTTGGGTCTTGTCTGCCTCAGTTGGTAGCACTCTTGCCTCTGAGTCAGAAGATTTGGGGTTTGAGTCTCAGGTCAGGACTCTGAACTCGCATAGTATGGACTGACACTCCAGTACAGTGTTGGGGATATGCTATGTTGTTGGAGGTGCCGTACTCCACATGAGATGTTAAACTGCCAGTTCAGATGGATGTTAAAAATCCCAAGGCACTATTTGAAAAAAGAAGGGAGTGTCTCCTGGTGTCCCGGACAACAATCCCTCAAATAAAATTGGTCACTCACTGTCGCTATGACATTTCTGTTCATAAATGCTGTTGCATCCACCTACAAAATACAGTCACTACATATTACAGTAAATCCTGTGAAATGCTTTAAGAAGTCTTCCTGATATAAAAAGCACCTCCAAAAATGCAAGGATTGATTGATTACTCACTTACTCACTTACTTACTTACTTACGCATTTATTTATTTGTTTATTTGTTTATTTGTTTATTTGTTTATTTGTTTGTTTATTTATTTGTTTGTTTGTTTGTCTGTTTGTTTGTTTGTTTGTTTGTTTGTTCGTTCATTCATTCATTCATTTATTTGTTTGTTTGTTTGTTTGTTTATTTGTTTATTTGTTTATTTGTTTATTTGTTTATTTATTTATTTATTACAAGAATTAATAACCCTTGCATTTGATATATCACCTATAACATTGAAAAGTCTCAATTTGCACAAGGTCATAACATGAAAGATCAATCTTATCTGAGAGATTGTTGATCAGGAGAAATCCCTTCTCTTTTCGAATAGCACCATGGGATTTTTAATGTCCACCTGAACAGGCAGATGAGGCCTCAGTTTAACACTTCATTCAAAGAATAGCACAATGCACAGACTCCCCCAGGACTGCACTGGAGTGTCAGCATAGATAATGTCCTCAAATAATAATCCTTGCATTTGATATAGCGACTTATAACATCTTCGAAACATCTTAAAGTGCTTCATAGAATATACTGTAAAGTGAATTGACTGTATGTATTGTGGGCAAAGTCCGAACCCATGAATTCCTTTAAGGTGACATGTTTGACTCTGATTCAATAGCCACTTATTGTAATGATTCACAAACTAATATCCCTTTGTGCAAACGAAAACCATCTCACTTCCCTCTTTACACTTCCAGTAATAATCTTGAAGATATGCCCCTAGTCAGTTTACGAACCAGACAATTTTTTTTCTCTATTTATCCTCACACACAGGAAAAACAGTGACAAATTTGGTTCTGAACTGTGATCAGTCATCTGGGAACCCCTGATTCAATCTATTGCTCAAATAATAAAGGGACTGCCCAGGCCTTGGAGACAGTAAAGAGGAGAATAACCGTCTCAATTCCTAGTGCTTTTTTTAATTTGGTCAGCCAAATTTGGTCTGACCCATGCGGAAACCCATCCCCATGCTTAAGAGTATCCAAACTAAACTGAGATTTCCCTGCATCCCACCTACACATGGAAATCCCTGAGATAGATTGTTGGGATGGAATGCGCACTCTCTCCCTGGAGGGACTTATCCTGTTTACCTAATTCTGGAAGGTATTAGGCGCAGGTTGGCACGAGCCAAGGCTTGGGGACCCCAGAGTTGGGGTAACTGCCGGAGTCTAACCAGCTAAAACCGTATAGCTTGCCATTGATTATCTGGCAAGCTTTCCCACCGCTTGTCCAGCTGGGTCCAGCCTACCTATTAGGGCTTTGGCTTGCAGGGTTATCAGGAGCTGAGTGGGGGTGATTCTGTCTCCAGTTACTGGTGTACTCTTCCAGGTCCTGCCATTGAGCCAGGCTGGCCACGCTGCCATCAGCAGTGTCCTGGAATACTGCAGATGTGTCTGGCTCAGGAACCGGACTACAGAGGCCGCCACGGTGGGCTCGGCTCGATTCCAACATTCCATTGCCAGGGATGTCATCTTGGAGCCAGTTCAGCTTCCAAGGAAACCCCACTTACTTTCCTAGTGTGAGAGGGATGAGCTCCGAGGAACAGCTTGATCAAATTTGAGCTATTCTGCCTTAAAAAGGGATGTCTCAGAGGGGATCTTAGAGGTGAACAACGACAACGACAACAACAACAGAATTACACCTTTAACGTCAGGAGGAGGTCCCAAAGCGCTGGACAGACAGAGTTTCGGACCAGAACCGGGGGTCGGGGTCGGGGAGGATGGAGGGCAGGAGGGGAAGCAGGGAGATTAAAAGCACAGTCAATGAGGAGGGTCTTGAGATAACTCTTGAAGGTGCTGAGGGAGGGGGCGAGGCGGCTGGACTGTGGGATGGAGTTCCAGAGGGTGGGGTCAGAATGGCAGAAGGCCCACCCGCCAATATTGGGGTGAGCGAGGCAGGGGACGTGAAGCAGGCCGAAGCCCATTGAGCGGAGGGAGTGAGCAGGATGGTAGGGGGTTAAGAGGTCGCAGAGGTAGGGGATAACAAGGCCATGGAGGGCTTTGAAGGTGAGGACCAGGATCTTGTATCCTTTGTGTGAGTCAGTGGAGTCAGGTGAG